GAGGGTGGGGGAGTAATATAGATATTTCTTATCACATGCGACCCAGAATGGGGAAGCACTTTACCCAAATAGGGACCTAATGCAAGATCTTGAGAAAGATGAGAGAAAAACTCCTTTGCTCTGTTAGCAGATTTTTAAATCTATTTTGGAGAGTTATTCAGTTCTTTAATGTACTCAAGAAGTAGCAGGTTATGCTACGTTATGAAAGTGACTAGAGATGAGCGAATCGAACATGACGAAGTGGAATTCGTTTCGAAGATTAGGAAAAATTTGATTCGCGCCGAATCCGAAAATTAGCAAACTTCGGATGCACGAATCGAATTTTCCCAAAAATGGCGGTGACATGTGTGGCGACGGAGCGGGGATCTCTGGGAAGGCGCGCAGACAAGGCGCGCTGACCCATAATGCATTCATTCATGACATGTGATCGCATTAGCCAATCAGCAGCCAGCCAGCCAGCACTGTGTAATGGTGGAGCTATAAATCGCGGCCATCTTAGAATTCTCCATTAGCCTCCGGTCATTCAAGAGAGACAGACCTGTCTGTATTAGGGACAGAGTTAGGGCCACAGAGACTTTAGGGCCACAGAATCGTTACTCAGGGACACAGAATCGTTACTCAGGGACACAGAATTGTTACTCAGGGACACAGAATCGTTACTCAGGACAGACACAGAATTGTTACTCAGGGACACAGAATTCTTACTCAGGGACACAGAATCGTTACTCAGGGACACAGAATTGTTACTCAAGGACACAGAATTGTTACTGAGGGACACAGAATCGTTACTCAGGGACACAGAATCGTTACTCAGGGACACAGAATTGTTACTCAGGGACACAGAATTGTTACTCAGGGACACAGAATCGTTACTGAGGGACACAGAATCGTTACTCAGGGACACAGAATCATACTCAGGGACACAGAATCGTTACTCAGGGACAGACACAGAATCGTTACTCAGGGACACAGAATCGTTACTCAGGACACAGAATCGTTACTCAGGGACACAGAATCGTTACTCAGGGACACAGAATCGTTACTCAGGGACACAGAATCGTTACCCAGGGACACAGAATCGTTACCCAGGGACACAGAATCGTTACTCAGGGACACAGAATCGTTACCCAGGGACACAGAATCGTTACCCAGGGACACAGAATCGTTACTCAGGGACACAGAATCGTTACTCAGGACACAGAATCGTTACTCAGGGACACAGAATCGTTACTGAGGGACACAGAATCGTTACTGAGGGACACAGAATCGTTACTGAGGGACACACACAGAATCGTTACTCAGGGACACAGAATTGTTACTCAGGGACACAGAATTGTTACTCAGGGACACAGAATCGTTACTGAGGGACACAGAATCGTTACTGAGGGACACAGAATCGTTACTGAGGGACACAGAATTGTTACTCAGGGACACAGAATCGTTACTGAGGGACACAGAATCGTTACTCAGGGACACAGAATTGTTACTCAGGGACACAGAATTGTTACTCAGGGACACAGAATCGTTACTTTCTGCTTCACAACCACTATTGTACGTTCAAAGAGTTAAATCCTGTTTTATGTTTGGGGTGCTTATTGAATTAAAGAGTATGTCAGACAACACGCAGAGGAGTGGCAGAGGAGGCAATGTTTCAGGAGCGAGCAGACGTGGCAGCAGAGGAAGGGGTCGAGGCAGCACTAGTCGCAGCCAGAGGCCAGTGCTCCCGGTGTCATCCAGCGGTCGTGTCTCCACCGACAACCCTGCCGTCATCGATTGGTTGACTCGGTCGTCTTCCTCTTCCCAGGTCACCTCTGACACCTACAGCCAACGGTCGGTGGGTACGTCAGACACAACCGTTAGTTGGCATGGCCCGGGATCAAGCCCACTGAAATCACGTGTCCTCTACCTGCCCCTGTCCTTTGGTGTTCCCTCACCAAGCGAAGTATCGCATGCTGTGGGCTCAGCCCCACTGTACAGTGAGGAAGAGCTAACAGAGGGCGGTCAGGAACGGGGGGAGACATCCGCCTCTTCAGCAGCCAGGCGAAGAAGTACTGGCGAGGAGAGGCTCGGTAGCCGGTCTAGAGACAGGTCTGTCTCCTGACCCACACGCAGCCGAGGGGGCTAGTAGTGACGCGGAGACCCTAATTGATGATGATGAGGCTGATCGCACTTGGCAGCCTCGTCGTCATCAGGCTATTGCTTCGCATCATCAGGAGAAGAGGGTGCCAGCTTGCCAGCGAGCAAAACAGTCGATGGGTTGCCCAGGAGGCAGCAGGGTCGCAGTGTCAGTGTCAGTGGAGGCAAACGGCCACGGAGTAGAGCAGCACCAGCTCCACTGCAGCCTACCACCACGGCCAGTAGTGGTGCCGGTGTGCACGGAGGAAGTAGCAGTCAGCCAGTGAGGAGTAGCGGGGGCAAAGTTTCCTACTCGGCGGTGTGGCGATTTTTCGTCAAGCCGCCCGAGGAAGTAAACGTAGCCGCATGTCGACTATGTGGCCAGAAAGTCAAGCGTGGCCAGGGGGCCCATGTTGGGACTACAGCGTTGCGTCAGCATATGCAGCGTCGCCATTCGGTGGCCTGGGAAAACCGTGATAAAGATACGGCGGTTCTGCCTGCCCCAGCCCCCGCTCCATCACCCGCTCCGTTACTTGCTCCGTCACCCGACGTCAATCGCCCTCTATCAGCCAGTCAAGGCTCCAACACCTCTGCTGAGGGGAGTTGTCGCTTGTTGGCATCTTCCGCTCGTTCAGATGCTCCTTCTCCTGCTACTCCTCTTCACGGATTCCGTCAGCAGTCTTTCTTGGAATCCGTTTCCAAGAGACAACAGTTTGCGAGCACGCACCCGACGGTGCAGAAGCTGAACGTCCTCCTGTCCAAGTTGCCGGTGCTGCAGTCCCTCCCTTTCCAAGTGGTGGACTCAGCACCTTTCCGAGAAATGATGGCTTGTGCCGAGCCGCGGTGGAGAGTGCCAAGCCGGCATTTCTTCGCCAAAAAGGCAGTGCCAGCCCTGCATTCACATGTAGAAGAGATGGTGGGCCAGTCTTTGAGCATGTCGGTCTCTGCCAAAGTGCACGGCAGCACCGACGTGTGGAGCTGTAACTACGGTCAGGGACAGTACATGTCATTTACGGCCCACTGGGTGAACGTGGTGCTGGCACAGCCGCACCAGCAACTTGGACAGGTCACGCCACTTTTGCCTCCACGTTTGCACGTCCTTGGTCCAGCAAAGATGCCCGCCTCTACCACCTCTTCTTCCGCCGTGTCCTCAGCCGCCACCCCCGTGCCAAGTCCCATTACCCGACCGGCATATCACATGTGCAGGGCGCAACGGTGTCACGCTGTGCTGCACCTGGTATGCCTTGGCGAACGTAGTAGTCACACAGGGGAGGAACTTTCTCAGTGTAATGAACAGAGAAATCGACAGATGGCTGTCTCCGCGCAAACTGAAAATCGGAACCATGTTGACCGACAACGGAAAGAACATGGTGTCTGCTCTGCGTCAAGGAAGGTTGTGCCATGCGCCATGCATGGCTCACGTGTTCAATCTGGTTGTCAAGTGGTTCCTAAAATCCACCATCCCACTGCAAGACATCCTTAAAATGTCACGTAAACTTTGCATGCATTTCAGCCATTCCTACACCGCAAAGCACACCCTCCTTGAGCTGCAGCGGCAGAACAGAATTCCACAGCATCGCCTGATCTGCGACGTTGCAACAAGGTGGAATTCAACCCTACATATGTTAGACCGCCTTTACGAACAGCGAAAGGCCATCACCGATTTCCTGATGTTACAAGCGGATAAAGGTACTCCCCTGTGTAACTTAGATGTCAGCCATTGGCAGCTCATGCGTGACACCTGCCGCTTGCTCAGGCCCTTTGAGGAGGCCACGCTATTCGTGAGTCGGCATGACTATGGGATGAACGACGTCATTCCTCTGTTGCACGTCCTGGAACAAATGCTGTTAACAATGGCTGGTCAGGGTACGGTAGACGTGGCGCACAGATCTCAACGCCACATGACCCCTGTGGGGGCAGGACAGGAAGAAGAGGAGGAGGTAGAGGAGGACATTGGTGCTCAGGAATTATTGAGTGAAATGGGTGGTTTTTCCACTCAGTGGACAGGAGTGGAGGAGCAGGAGCATCTGGTAGAGGAGGAGGAGGAGACAGAGGACCCAGACGCACCGTGGCAGTATGCTGTGGAGATGGAGGCAGGGAGTCCCTCGCATTCCTTGGCACAAATGGCCCATAGCATGCTCGGTTGCTTGCGTAGCGACAGCCGAATAATAACCATCAGACAGAGGGATGACTTTTGGCTGTCCACCTTGTTGGACCCTCGCTACCGTTCAAAAATGGTGGCCTTTTTCACACCTGCTGAGAGGGAGGCCAAAATAATGTACTATAAAAACCACCTATGTAGTCAGTTGGTCTCTGCCTTTCTGTGCCAACGTCCATCCTCAGACACTGTGGGCCCTGTGCGCTCGCGTTCCGCTGCCATGGCAGCAGGGGAGGGGTGGGGTGGTAGGAGCAGTAGCAGCTCCACCAGCAGCGGCTGCCTCAGTCTGCAGTCGATGATGAGTAGCTTTCTTCACCAGCGCAGTGAGGAAACTACTAACCAGCCGCAGCAGCAGCAGCATCAGGTGGACCTGGAGCAGGACCTCAAACAACAGGCTCGGGCCTACTTGGACAGCACCCTGCCAACCGAGGTAGACAATCCCCTTGACTACTGGGCAACGAAACTTGACCTTTGGCCCCAACTAGCTGAATTTGCCCTTGAAAGGCTGTCATGCCCGGCCAGTAGCGTGGCATCGGAGCGCGTGTTTAGTGCGGCAGGAGGTATTGTAACTCCGCGGAGGACATGACTGTCCACCCAAAGTGTGGAGAGACTCACGTTTGTGAAAATGAATCAGGCGTGGATTAGTCTGGATTTCAAACCACCAGTTCCTGACACAACTGACTAAATCCGCCATGAATCATGCCCCAAACATGTTATTATTTTTAACATAGGCCTCTGTATGGCCTTCAATTTAAGCTGCTTACGCTTCGCCACTCTGCCATGGGCCCCTGTACCGCCTCCTCTTGCTGCTGCCAGGTCCAGAGTGTGTCATGGGTCTAGTCCAATGGCAGAGTGGCGGAGCAGAAGCAGCTTCAATTGAAGGCCATACACAGGCCTAGGTTTAAAAGTCCCTCACAGTTAATTACAATAACAAACTCTACTCCTCCGTGCAATCTACTTACGAGACCCTGGGCAGGTCTGGGTCCAATTTGTGGTAGAGACTGGTTTTGTTCAGCCATGCTTGAGCGAGTAATAACAGGTCTGTGCTGCCCTTTGGTGTCTGGCTTAATGCGCACAACACTGAACGTCCCAGCGTTTGTCAACGATTTGCCGTTAAGTGATGCAAACCCGCTGAACCACGTTCAAGAGGAGCCGGTACAGGGGGCCATGAATCAGTATGGACCTGGCAGCAGCGTGAGCAGACGACAGAGGCACATGGCGCAGGGTGGCGGTGTAGGCAGCATTATTCTGAAGCCATACACAGGCCTAGGTTAAAAAGCGGAAGCCGTCAGCAGCGTGAGCAGACGACAGAGACACATGGCGCAGGGTGGCGGTGGATGCAGCAGTATTCGGAAGCCAAACACAGGCCTCGGTTAAAAAGCGGAAGCCGTCAGCAGCGTGAGCAGACGACAGAGGCACATGGCGCAGGGTGGCGGTGGAGGCAGCAGCAATGGAAGGCCATACAGCACCCTATCACAAAATGGAACCCACCAACAGTGTAAGGAGACCTGAAAGTGGAACATGGCAGAGTCTGGCGATGAAGTCAGCAGCAATGGGAGGCCATACAGGGACCCATGACACACTCTGGACCTGGCAGCAGCAAGAGGAGGCGGTACAGGGGCCCATGGCAGAGTGGCGAAGCGTAAACAGCTTAAATTGAAGGCCATACAGAGACCTATGTTAAAAAGTCCCCCCAGCAGCAGCGTGGGGAGACGACTATTAGTCCCCCGTACCGACTCCTCATGCTGCTGCCAGGCCCGTAATCTGTCATGGGCCCCTGTACCGCCTCCTCATGCTGCTGCCAGGTCCAGAGTGTGTCATGGGTCCCTGTATGGCCTCCCATTGCTGCTGTCTCCATCGCCACACTCTGCCATGTGCCACTTTCAGGTCTCCTCACACTGCTGGTGGGTTCCATTTTGTCATAGGGTGCTGTATGGCCTCCCATTGCTGCTGCCTCCACCGCCACCCTGCGCCATGTGCCTGTCGTCTGCTCACGCTGCTGACGGCTTCCGCTTTTTAACCGAGGCCTGTGTTTGGCTTCCGAATACTGCTGCATCCACCGCCACCCTGCGCCATGTGCCACTTTCAGGTCTCCTTACACTGTTGGTGGGTTCCATTTTGTGATAGGGTGCTGTATGGCCTTCCAATGCTGCTGCCTCCACCGCCACCCTGCGCCATGTGCCTCTGTCGTCTGCTCACGCTGCTGACGGCTTCCGCTTTTTAACCGAGGCCTGTGTTTGGCTTCTGAATACTGCTGCATCCACCGCCACCCTGCGCCATGTGTCTCTGTCGTCTGCTCACGCTGCTGACGGCTTCCGCTTTTTAACCTAGGCCTGTGTATGGCTTCCGAATACTGCTGCCTCCACCGCCACCCTGCGCCATGTGCCTCTGTCGTCTGCTCACGCTGCTGACGGCTTCCGCTTTTTAACTGAGGCCTGTGTTTGGCTTCCGAATACTGCTGCATCCACCGCCCGCCCACTGCTGCTGCCAGGCCCGTAATCTGTCATGGGCCCCTGTACCGCCTCCTCATGCTGCTGCCAGGTCCAGAGTGTGTCATGGGTCCCTGTACGGCCTCCCATTGCTGCTGTCTCCATCGCCACACTCTGCCATGTGCCACTTTCAGGTCTCCTCACACTGCTGGTGGGTTCCATTTTGTCATAGGGTGCTGTATGGCCTCCCATTGCTGCTGCCTCCACCGCCACACTGTGGCTCCACACTCTGGTTTTGGCCCCGTGACTGCCCAAATGAGTGAAGTGTGCGGTGATTCTAAGATCGACGGCACTCATCTGCATGTCATACTGACTGACAGTATTAGTTCTCTTCCCCAGCAGACTCCAAGGGCATTTAAATTAAAGGTACAGTGTTCTGCACTAATATAAAGGCTCTCTGAAGCCTAGAAACACCCTTTTTATAAGTTAAATTCGCAGCGAATATATTCGCCTCGAATCAAATCTATTCCGCGAATTCGGCGAATCAGCCGAATCGAATTTTTGAATAATTCGCTCTTCTCTAAAAGTGACCAAGAAATAGCAGAAAAGACAATTAATGATAGTGATTAAATAGCAGAAGATTAGGTTATTTATGAAAGCAAACAAGCAGTAGCTGATTAAATCATTTAAAGAGTAATCAATAATTAGCAGATTAGATTATTTAGTAAAGTGATCCATGTTTAGCAGTTTAAGATTTGTTTATGAATGTGATTAGGAAGTAGCAGATTTATGAGAGTTATCAAGAAATAGAAGATTTCATTTTTCAAATATAAAATATTAGATCATTTAAAGAGTAAAAAAAAATAGAAGATTATATTATTTATTAAAGTGATCCATGCTTAGCAGATTGAATTTGTTTATGAAAGCCAGTAGCAGATTCCATTTTTCAAATATTTAGCTTTTTTTGCTTTAATAGCTTAAATTACTTATATGAAATTGGGTAATTTGTGTTTAAACCTAAACAACACACCATTATAGATATTTTAATAACATTTCAAAAGGGCAGTGGCCTGCAGCATGTAGTTATATTGGTAATGAAACTATTACACAAACACTATTGCACTATTGTATTCTGACAGCAGGACCCACCCCCCCATTAGAATACACTGATCAGTACTGCAGCTAATTGGCTGCATGCACTGATTGAAGCAACATTTTCCAGCAAGCTAATTTAGGAGAACTCAGTTGAACTGCTGAACCGTTCAAATTTCAATCCAAGTATGGCCAGCCTAAAGCTGCAACATATGTAATATGGATTATTACTGATGCTCTTGTATTAAACATATATGACCATCAACCTTGCATCCTGCTTGAAAAAAAAAAAAAAAAAAAAAAAAAGAACTGCACTTTTGGATTCCTGCCAGCAGCATTAGAGGGACCCATTCAACTTACACCCTTAGCAAGCATGCACCATCTCCCTTACTGTTTTCCTCCACAGTGCTGTACTCCTCCCTTTTCTCCTTTGCTAAAGAGGGTATTCTTTGCTGTCAGGAGTACTGGATGGTTCCCGAATATACACATCTTTACACTCTGAGGGTCTACCCATCTTCTTTCCTCCTTATTGAGGAACTTCCTCCTACCTTTTAGTCTTTGCTATGTTACTGTTGTGTTCTATGTGGCAAATGCTGAGCACACAAATTACAATTTCACTTACTAATGGTATAGAACAGCATTGAACAGTTGTTAGAACAGTGTTACCTAATTTCTGACCTTAATGTAGCACATATTCTTGCATCCAATGAATTGATTCGCACATGCAGATGTAACTGTTACTTGTTTGTAAGGTGGAAACTGGGGTTAAGTAAAATATTGTGGCTTGGTTGGCACATAAGCACAATGTGTTCAGTAACATCAGGAAACAAGCATTATAGACAGGATGTCTTCATAAAAACTGTCCATATGATTTAGACTAAGACTAAAAGAAAAGTAAGTTTTGGCTTGGCATGCAAACACTTTGAATCTATTTCAATAGTCAGATGATTGCTGTATACATACAAGAAAATGCTATTATCAAACGTTTTCTATCTCAGTCAGTATCTTAAAGTAAACTGGTTAACACAATGGTTAGAATGAATCCTTGTATATACAGTATGAACCACACAAAAACATCCTTACCAATGTGGCAACATTTAGTCCTCATAAACATTGAGGATGTAATTGCAGGCCACACAATGCAACAACAACATTGTGCTTTCCAAAGGGCCAATCATATAAATCACTTCCTAAAACATACAACTAATGATCCTTTATGTTAAACACACCATTCCAAATTAGGTTTTTAAGAATTGGCACATTCTATTAGTAATATATACATTAAATATGAGGTTAACCACTTTCTGACCAAAGTAGTTTTTAGGATCTGTGGATGGAAATGTTTAAATGTCAGTGGCTCATCTGTTTTTCATCCTAACTGGATTTTCAATTTAAATACCCACTTAGTTTTGGCCTTGGCCTTGGCCTTGCTGATCAATGTGTATTAAGGAAGAAATTTTCCATATTAACCCATCATAGGCATACATTTTATAGGAGTTGTTACCTCTTCCTTTTGTGCAAGCTGCTTCTTACTTCCAGCACTCGCCTATACACATTGTTCTATATTCATACTTTGGTTCTTGATCCAAGTTATGTGCCTATTATTTCTTACATTGTAAGGGCTCTGTTTCAACAGGATTTTCTTTGCTTAAAGCAAGTTTTTTACAGTCTCATGTGTATATGAAGCAGGTCAAATGAATTTCAGGAGGAGACTAACTGCAAGTTAAATGTGTTAAATTATCTCAGGAGCACATCAAACTGATGTTATCTGATGTCAATTGATTCCAACAACACAAGCTCAAAGCCAGTCAGCATTGGCCTTTAGGGTACAAACCCATTAAAGATACAATGTCACTTGAATCTGTGTCTGGAGCTATAATGATAATGATAAGCAGTGTGGGTGGGTAGAGAATAATATTTTGTTAGAACCTTGACACAGAAAATGTTTTGATGATGGTACATGCCTGACTACACAAAATGAACAACATAAAAATGGAAGACAAACCATAGCCCAAGAGAAAAGACAAAAAAAGCCGTTCAGTTTAAGATTTTTTTTATATTTTCTTAACACAGCCAAAATGCACATATTAGAAACGGTCAGCCTGCCATTTGAATCTGATTAACTTTTATACTTTCTGTTTAATAGGCAAAATGCAGATGTTAAGAACTGTCAGTCTGTCGTTTACATAAATCACCAAGTTACTTGCAATTTGTTAAAATATGCAGTACAAGTTAAAAACTGAAGAAACCATGCTCTATGCAAACATACCTTGGACAAATGCCGGATGTCAAACATGCCAGACTATAAATAATATTAAGGCACACTATCCAATTTTTTTGAAAATGTGACATTGGTGATATTTGGTCCAAGTAGTTTATATTTATTTACCAACCTTTTTAAATGAATTTGAACACATTATATATCTTAAAAAAAGAAAACACTAATTTGGTCATTTAATAAAGGTGTAAGGCATAAGAAGAATGGATTTCAATCTCTGCAAAATAGTCTATTGGAACGACACATAAGTATGTTACCATGGTTGTCTACCAGTGAACACATTCAGGTTTCTCACTTTATATTTTATTGCTAATAAACCTGTTTAAAGGTAATTACTTTTAACTTGCAAATGTGATGTCACTTCATATAAATAAACATGATTTCCATTTACAGGAATATCAAACAGACTTTTTTGAATGGGAAAAATCAGGCTCATATCAACACTGCAACAGCACAGTGAACTTAGCTTGAGAGTTGCCCAGCCATCTAAGGGATTCATATTCAAGATATGCTTGGATAAAGCAAGATTGCTACAGTAAAACCAAATACAATGTTATAAACACAAAATACAAAAATTAAAAAATAAATAAATAAATTGACACAGGACAAGACAACAGCTGCAAACTGAACAGTAAATTATTATAAGTTCAGACCACTAATTGAGTGAATTTCATTTTAACTAACCACCCAGTTGTCTATGACCTTTAAAATTCTTAATTGCATAAGGAATTATACAGACTAATTCTTTACAGAAACTTTATTCATTAGAGCTAATTCATAAGTGCAGTTACCTACAGCATTCAGTAAGAATTCACACCGATGAAGTCAAAACAGTACAATATGAATTCTGATTGGCTGCTATGGGTACCTAAACTAAGGTATCCAATCTTCCAAACATGGAGACAAAGAAAATTAAGACTTCTTTCTATCGGGTGCTACAGGAGGTCAGAATAACAGCTGCAATCTTTTTGTTTGCTTGGGTAACTGTCCCAGTTCTGTTTGCTGTCATACACATAACTTAATAAGTATGTAATGAGCATTTTGTATTTGTATAAGTAATCCTACCAATTTACTAAGTTTTGCCCTAATAGTTATGTTTTATTTTTTACTGCTAAAAGCTGCTTGGCACCTAGCTTTTGTCATACACACTAGCGACCCCATGTCATTTACAGCCTAAAGCATGCAGCCATCAGAAGATTCTTATAAAATGTTTCTCCATAATTTTCTCAAGAACTTTTTTTTAGCCTTTGCACTGGTTGCAAAATAGTGTGCTGGAGTGTCATTCAAAATGAATGGTAGGGCAACACAACACACATATACAGTATACTTTTATATT